ATTGACTTGCTAAGGGGTGATTCCCTTGAAACTCATCATCTTTCAATAAAATGCAGCCATACTTGTCTTCCACAGCGACATTGTTTTCACAAACCTTGTCAGTCGTGCAACTGAGATAAAAAGAAATACAGTTAGAACCAAGACAAAGAATTATTTATGTTGCTCGCAATGTTTTCCCAGTTAACAGAGTTGACTTGTCTTGTTCAGGATGCACTGTTTCATGATGGCAGCTGTTTTGGTAGCTTCAAATTAGGGTTCTAGGATTCATCAGTTCTAGAATTTAAACCAACAAATAACTTGGTCCCTTTCCAATCTTACACTCATTCTTTGAGTTTCTACTTAATTCAGCACTAAAGAGTGTTAATGCTATTCCATTTTTACTCCTGTTAGTTCATGTAAACCAGACATGTCAAACACAAGGCCTGGGGGCCGGATGTGACCCGCGAAGTGGTTTCATGTGGCCCGCAAAGCCATCCTGGAAACAGTGAGGGAACGGCCCCTGCTGCCTTGGCCCTGGCCCAGGCTGGCCAGGGGCCAACGTACAATTTTGTGGTGGCCATCTATGCTGAAACGCATTCAGTCTTAGCTCCACAAGGCCGTCTAGAAGCAGCGAGGAACCAGCCCCTGCCTTGTTGGCCCCACCCCCTGGGTGCATGCTGGGGAGGTGTCCCCCTTTGTGAGGAAAGAAGAAATGGACCATGCCTTGGCGCTTGCCCCGGTCCCACCTCCTTCTGCCAGAGGCCCTCAGATCTGTCCCACTCCTGCCCAGGCCCCCACAGGCACCCTTGATGCGAACGATGTAGAGCTGGCCATGCCCACCCAGTAGGCCACACCCACTCCATCCATGCCCACCCAGTAGGCCGCACCCACCCTGGTCACACCCACCCGGCCCCCCAAGGACAACCGCATGCTGATGCGGCCCTCAATGAAATTGAGTTTGACACCCCTGATGTAAACAGTCAGTAGTAGATATACTACTTGTATACTTGGTCAAGGTAGGAAATATACATTACTCCTTACTCTTTAACCAAATTATTCTCCCCTCCCTTGTTAATTAAAATTGTATATTTTGTTAGGACAAGATCCTGCTGTCCAAGCAAACTGTTAATAGAACAAGGTATATGTTATAAAGATCCTTAATGAGGGAAGTTGGTTGCTCTCCTGGAATCAGGAGAAATCCTTATGCTTATCTTCTTATGAAGTTAAGCTCTTGTTACACAGGTAGTCCTTTGCGTACAACAGTTCATTTAGTGACCATTCAAAGTTGCAACGGCACTGAAAAAGTGCCTTATGACCATTTTCCACACTTACAACCATCGCAGCATCCCCATGGTCATGTGATCCAAATTCAGACACTTGGCAACTGACTCGTAGTTATGACGGTTGCAGTGTCCCAGGGTCATGTGATCACATTTGTGACTTTCTTACAAGCGAAGTCAATGCGGGAAGCCAGAGTCACTTAAAAACCATGACACTAACTTAATAACTGCAACGATTCATTTAACAACTGTGGCAACTGTGGTTGTAAAATGGGGCAAATTCACTTAACAAATATTTCACAGCAACAGAAATGTGGGCTCAATTGTGGTCGTAAGTTGAGGACTGCCTGTATTAAAGCATCACATCGAACTGTATGCAGTGTGTGAAAGGCATATTCATCTTCTCTTCAAGTAGATAACATTCTTATGTTTAGTCTTGACTGGAAACTTCTTACGGACTTTTGGGGTAAAAATTAAAAAATGAACGTGTGATTTATGTCTTTGATGATTAGACAGAATGGATTATCAAAAGAAGAGTATTATGATGTAACTTGGAAGAGAGAGGTTAAAATATAATTGTACTTATAACTGCTGTGAAGAATATCAGAAGCCACATCTTTGTATCTTACGTCTTTCTTTTCTTTCTTTTTTCTATTCTTGCACTTTTTGCTTTCTCTCTGCTTTCTTTCTTTGCCCTTTCTCTTGTTTTTATCTTTCTTCAAATGTTTTCGATAAAAATCATGTTAAAAAGATGACTAACATTCTGTTTTGATAAGTGAAAATAGAAAAAGGCTGCCTCAAGTATTTTTGTCCATCAGACATTCAAATATTTATTTATTTTGTTTAAAAAAATATAGCTGCATTTTTTCGTGTTTTATTTATTGATTTTAGATTTCTGTGTAACTGTATTGTTCTTTCCATTTTATCACTGAGATCTCAGTTAGTTTCACTCCAATAAACTAAGATTCAGATACTTTGGGTGGGGCATCCTGTAATAAATACAAAAATTCAAAATTTGGCTAAATTCAAAGAAAACATAGAATTCCAATGAATTTACTAAATAAGAAAGAAAATTTGAATTTAGTTTTTCTAAATTTTGAAAGCAAATATTGCCTCTTTTTACATTTTCCATGTGAAATTGGTAAGAGAAAATGGAAAACACTTTTGGCAGAAACAAACTAATAGACTGCTAAGTTAGTTTCAATATTTGCAGCTGATTATTCAGTTAAACTCACAGTACTAGCTATAAAAATGTAATCACTTTGTAATTAATTGAGCCAATTGGATTTTAGGTTTTGGTATGTTTAGTTGATTTCTGACACTGTACAATTAATGAATTCTTCTGTTTGAAAATTCTACATGTTAAGTGCTGAATGTGAAAAGAAGAATATAGAGCTTGATGGGAATTTACTGAAATTTTAAGCAGACTTCAGTTCCTATTATTTAAGGATTATGCAATCCCCCAAGTGTGATTCATATGATGAAATTATCTCAGATAATCTATTTGATTGCCTTCAATATAGCAGCACTGATACTAGCGCGGAAGCAACATAGCTGCTGAATTATTAAAAAACAAATAGCAATTCATCTCTAAGCCAGAATCCCAAGTCGTTTGGTTAATGATGTATGAAAAATGCAAAACATCATAATAATTACACCTTTGGCTTGATGGACATGCTTCCTTGGTAAATTTTAAAACCAATAACCAATAACTGCAACCCTAAGGAGTTGCAATTTACACCAGTGATGGGATTCAAATATGTGAACAACTGGTTCTCTGTGTGAATGGTGCTTCTGGAAGTCTATTCTAGGCCTGGGCAACAAAAAATTAGTGACCGATTCTGCCGAACTTGTGCGAACTGGCTGAATCCCACCACTGGTTTACACTTTGACATAGGGAAAACACCAGTAGTGGAGATAAGGATATATTCTTGTGGAAACATTAAAAAGATGATAGAAGAAAAGTATCCATTGAATATTTCAGAACAGCAGGAAAGATAGAAAAGACAGAGGAAGGACAAAGCAAAAAAAACTTTGGAAGAGTCAAAATGCCTATTCTAGCAAAACATGAAGGTACACAGCCCAAGAGATCTTTAAGGAAAGGTGTCATAAGAGTCATTCTGCTGCTTGCTTGTATTGCATCTTGCCAGCTTGACATCAGCAATGGCAGGAGGAGGAGAGATTGAAATGTGTGTGGTTAAGAGTGGGTGGGTTTGAAATAGATCTGGCCTTGACTATGAGGAGCACCAATCAAGCACAAGGTCAGCAAAAGGAATATAGATGGGAAAGGCCGCAAACCAAGATTGGTTTCCAAAACAACCTGAGAACTTTTAATTGGACGTTGATTGATAATAGGGGGATGGCCAGAGGAAAAGGGAAAGTTAATTGCATTGTTTTCATGCCAAGGGAACAGATTCTGCCTGCTCTAATCTGCAACCGCTTTGTTCTCAGTAAAGTATACTCTTGGAAAAAGAAATAAACCAGGAGTCTTTCTTTGCTGATTAAACTAAGTGGGATGGGTGACAGAAGGGCAAGGAATTTGGGCAGGACCAAAGCCAGTGCAAAGGTTAAAGAGAAGGTCCTGATAAGCAAGAAAAGGTGGATAGTTTGGACAGAATAGTTGACAGACATGAAAGAATCAAGATTAAATCATGGAAAAGGTGGAAGAAAAAGTTTCCAAGTAGCTAGGGAAGATTTTCTGGAATACATTCTACACTAAAAGGACAGAGACATCTTGAAGTGGGAGATATTTATAGAAGTTTCAAATATATATTAACTGAACAATTTTAACTGCATAAGACACATGAACACACTGAAAAGGCTGAAGCAATCTTCATACAAAGTGGAATGTGACTGCACAACTGCAGTTTATCTACTCTTCACTTGCTTTCTTCAATGTATTTTCCATCTTACCTGGACCATTGGAGAAAAGTTGATGTTGAACTGTTCCTTTCTGCACAAATATTCTGCTCTGTTAAAACATTTTTTCTTCCACTGTGGGCAGATATGGGAATCTTCACTCAAGTGAAATTTTCCTGTTTCTCAAAATTTAGGATGACATACAATATTCCTAGGGAATTTCTCTTAGAAATACAAGACTGATCTCTTGTTCTGTTTCTTCACCTGCTTTTTCTGACAGATATAGATGAATGTCTGGTGAACAATGGTGGCTGTGACCACTTCTGCAGAAACACAGTGGGAAGCTTTGAATGCAGCTGCCAAAAGGGCTACAAATTACTAACGGATGAACGAACCTGCCAAGGTAATTGCTTAAATTAAACCTTAATTCCTTTCTTCTTACATAGTGATGTCAGTGAGTGCCCACCTAAATGTTCCTGTTTATATATGTGTGTGTGTGTGTGTGTGTGTGTGTGTGTGTGTGTTTTCGTAGATTTTCACGGGTACAGGTATGCAGGTCTTGGCGTATTCGGGTCTTTTCCTGTGTAAGATTGAGAGTATCTTGGCGATGTTTCGACGAGGTCCCACTCGTCATCTTCAGGCTGGGGTCTTCGGCTTCGTGCTTGTGCGAGCAAAGCACGAAGCTGAAGACCCCAGCCTGAAGATGACGAGTGGGACCTCGTCGAAACGTCGCCAAGATACTCTCAATCTTACACGGGAAAAGACCCGAATACGCCAAGACCTGCATATTGGTGGACACTACAGCCAGAGGAAGAAGAAAAATGGAAGGACCTTTTTTTAGAAGTGACAAACAAAAGGATAAATTTTACTTATTGTTATGAAAAAAACTCTGTTAAAGTTCTGAAGGATTTTCACTTTGAAACTCAAATGATCAGCAAATTACTTCTAGGATTTTTGTAAGGGGTTAAAGAAGAATTCTAAAATGGGCTTGTTGACCAGGGTTAAAAGAAGAAAATAGTTATATTTGGTTGCCGTTACTGGATTATGCTGACAAAGATTGATTGAAATAGCACTTGGAGTTGTTTTCTTTACCTAAGAGATGAGCTATGGGCAGAAGAGAGATTACAGGTAGTCCTTCACATGACCATAATTGATCCCACAATTATGGTTGTCATGATGGTTGCTAAACAGGTCATCACGTGACTGTGCTCAACCTTTTTTTACGGTGGGTGTTACGTGAATACCACAGTCATTAAGCAAACCCATTGTGCGTTATGGGGCATTTTTGTTTTTGTTTCTGGCAAAAACATTGTGTTTCTGTCAAGAGTGAAAATTTGGCAACTACATGCCTCTTTGTTTTCATCTTGCCATTAGAGAGGGGGTGGGAGGAGATGGGGCTTTCATCTGGGTAAGTTGGAGAAACAAAACCTTTCCTGTTCTTCGAACGTTTACTGAGACAAAGCCGTCTGGAAACTTTTCAAGGACATTCCAGCAGGTGTGAAGAAGATAGCAGATGGTTCTCATAACAAAGAGTAATTGTTTACGTGAGCTATGTGGACATCTGAGGGGTTGGGCTGGGAATGTCATTGTTATATGCTATGGTCAGATTTTAGAGTTAGTTTTCCTTCGCCTATACCATGCCATATATTCAATAAACCAGTAAGCTTTTCAGAAATGAAAGTAACCCTGGACTTTTTATTTGGATATTCGAGCTGGAGGTTGACAGTATCATGGTCACGTGGCCGTGGGATACTGCAAATAGCTGTAAATGTGGGCCAGTTGCCGAGGACTCGAAATGCAGTCATATGATTGCAGGGGTAGTTGTTGGAACTTCAAATCCAGGTCGTAAATAGCTTTTTTAGTGTCCATTGTAACTTTGAATGATTGCTAAGCAACCAATCATAAGTTGAGGACATACAGGAAATATGTTTTTAATTAATTAATTACTTCTTTTAATTTATTTATTTTTTCATACACACCCTTTCTTAATTTGTTCTTGTATTTTTTTTTGGTTTCTATTTTTTGGGAGCTGGTATTGACTTCTTAATAAAATTATTTGAAGTAAAAGAAGTCAATATGCCAAAACAACCCCCATGTTATACTCCATTATCCATTTTATGGAGAGTGTATCAAAGGAAAGCAGGCTGAGAGCAAGACTGAGACAGAGAGAGCTGAATATCAGCAGAAAGCGACATAATTTATGTTAAACTTATATGTGTTCCTGTCAAGAATAAAATATACCCATGCCAGATGCCAAACTAGTGATGTTCAGAAAAACAAACACAGCAACACACACACACAAAGTATAACGTGTGCAAACTAAACTAGGAAAAAATTATAGTTGGGTAACCACACCAGAGTTTTTTTCCTTGTTTTTCACCCTCAGAACTTCTGCCACCCGCCCACCTACACGTTCCCAGCAATCTTCTCCTGTATATTTTTATAGTTTGTTCCCAATGAACATCTGAACTTCAGAAGACAGCACTGACTGCAGCTATTTGCCAGTATTATTTTCCATATTTTCCATTTTTCCATATTTCCATTATTTTCCACTTGGGCTCACACATCTACTATCTACTGCTCTCAAAATTAAAACAGGGCTGAACTTATCCTATTAGTATCACCAATTACCAAAAATCCACACATAGGGGATTGAGGGATTAGTCAAGAAATGAACACACTATAGACCAGGAAATGACACTGGCAACTAAAAGCCTTCTCCTTTCATCAAGTGAATAATATTTACGTGTACAGACCTAAAGATAGTAGTTTTAATTGTTTTTTAATCATAATCATAATCATAAAGTTGGAAGGGAACTTGGAGGTCATCCAGTTCAACCCCCTGCTCAGGCAGGAAACCCTATACCATTTCGGACAAATGGCTGTCCAGTCTCTTCTTAAAAACTTCCAGTGTTGGAACATTCACCGTTTTTGAAGGTAGGTTGTTCCACTGGTTAATTGTTCTCACTGTCAGGAAGTTTCTCCTTAGTTCTAGGTTGCTTCTCTCCTTGATTAGTTTCCATCCGTTGCTTCTTGTCCTGCCTTCAGGCGCCTTGGAAAATAGCTTGACTCCCTCTTCTTTGTGGCAGCCCCTGAGATATTGGAACACTGCTATCATGTCCCCCCTCGTCCTTCTCTTCATTAAACTAGACATACTCAATTCCAGCAGCCGTTCCTTATATGCTTTAGCCTCCAGTCCCCTAATCATCTTTGTTATATAGACTTAAAGCTAGCATGATGACGTTAAGGATGCTAAATATGGGTGATAAAAGAGAAAATGACAAGAACTAATGGACCTAAGATGCTGGATCTGAAACTCAGATCCTATTTTAAAATACAGAGAAGTCTGTGGGAAGTGACTAATAATTTTATTTGTCTGATTTGCTTGAAATATTTCTTCACGTAAAAAATATTTCTTTCCTTCTCCAAAAGGGCTTTCATGCCTAAAATAGGAAAATGCCATGAAGATTTTATCATGTTAACAGTATCTAAGAACGGACAGTTGTTCAAGCAGTCAGGTCATCCTTCTAAGATTCCAGAGGGGAGCAATGGACGGAAAAAGAGCCCATAATGATTTCACTCCCCTTCTTTGTAAATCATGGAAGTGCCCTCTTCTGGCCCTTAGGATTTGCCTGGGAAAAGGGCAAGAAAGCTGTAGAAATCTCTGCATATTTGTCATTACTACAATATGCTGTGGTGATGAATAGCAAATGTTATTCTCCTGTGGGATCTATATACTTAGGGTTGACTGATAAAAACTGTACTGTTAGTATCTTACTAGCAGAAACAGGTGATTTATGGATTTAGTCTTGTCATGATTTTCAGAAGGATAATTGGTGAACAAGGGAGGAAAGGAGGAAGCAACCAGCAAAGTATGAATCACCATATTTCCTTTCTTTCTTTGCTGGCAAAATGTCCTAGTGTTTGTTTTTAGTAGAAGAAGCAAGAGCGGTTTGAGGTTACTCATCAAGACTTAATTTAGAAGTCTTTTATGGGGCTTTTGTTTTTCAAATAGCTAGAGGGGGGGGGAAAACATTTTTCAGTGTTGCTGAAAAACTGTGTGCCAAGTTCTTTTTGGCTTTTTCATCACCCCAGTTAGAATTAGAAAGTTTTAATTACATTTTCTCAAAATACAATATATATTGTTATTTCCTGTGAAATGCTACTGTTTATTTTAATTCTATATGATGGAAAATACATTTCCTGAATTTATAACGCATTGCTTCCAGACTCAAAAGACACGGGGCATAGATTTGGTGTAGTAGCCCTCCTGGGACTGCTCCTTGAACGAAGAGGGCTATTTATTTAAAAGTATGCCACTTCTCAACATCAAACTCTCCCAAGGTAACCTATAAAACAGAACTAATTTTGCATACGTTGCAAAACAAATAAATTTCATAGGCATAGCAGGATGATTTGTCTAAACCAGGGGTAGTCAACCTTGGCTCTTTTATGACTCGTGGACTTCAATTCCCAGAATTCCTGAGCCAGCTTAGCTGGCTCAGGAATTCTGGGAGTTGAAGTCCACGAGTCATAAAAGAGCCAAGGTTGACTACCCCTGGTCTAAACCATTTAAATGTTTTAGAAAGGATAATCCACCTGCAATATTTGCATTCTTTTCACCTTTCTGCCACTGATCTAGTCTGCCGTGCTTATATTTATCAGTATTATTCCTGGACTTAGGTCTCGCAGATCTTGTGTTCCTCAAATCCTTTTGAAGAAATGAATATTCTGATATGTCTGAATAATTTATTTCTAACAATAAAAAGGCTTCGGAATTATATTTCTTCCTTTCAAGGTTGATTTGATACTTAAGCTTTTTCTCCCTCTGGTTAGCAATATTCAGAGATGACAAATTGATGTATAACTGAAATGGATTTGATCTCCATGACAGCATCATAAGAAAAGATACCTTGATACAGTGGTGGGATTCAAATATGTGAACAACCAGTTCTATGTGTGGATGCCGCTTCCGGAAGTCCATTCTGGGCCTGGGCAACAAAAAATTAGCTACCGGTTCTTCTGAAGTGGTGCGAACCAGCTGAATCCCACCACTGCTTTGATAGCAGGGTTCTAGTCAACCCTTTAACTAAGTTAACAGTCTAGTACTGTGGTTCTCAACCTGTGGGTCGGGACCCCATTTGGGGTCGATCGACCATTTCACGGGGGTCGCCAAGCAAGGCTGTCTGCCATTTTTTCTCCCTTTTCCGGCAGGTGCCTTACCTCTCTTGAGCTGGGCCAGCTGGTGGTCGGCCTGCTCCGTCTCTGCCGCTTGCCAGCTATGCCTCGGCCGGCGCAGGGGGCGGAACCACGCATGTGCGGCGCTCCCGGGCAGGGAAAGTCCTCGACTTACGACCGGTTGGGTAGTCCTCGACTTGCGACCTGTTTAGTCCTCGACTTATGACCGGTTTAGTCCTCGACTTACGACCGGTTTAGTCCTCGACTTACGACTGGTTGGGGTCGCGGCATTAAAAAGGTTGAGAACCACTGGTCTAGTAGGTGATTAAGAGTGGTACAGGCTAATTTAAGACCATCAACTTTTTTTCATTCTGACCTTTTAAATGGGAGATGAGAAACAGTTAACACTTCAGCAGAGAGAAGACTCCGCTTTTCACTAGAAAATCTAAGTTTTATTTTTATTACAAGGCTAATGAATTATTCATCCTGAAACATTCAACCCAAAAATTACGATCTTCGTGTCTTCTAGTTGTAGGTGAAAATATTCTGAGATCTTATTCGAGAAAATATGTCTGTATGAAGATGTAGAATTTGGCAGAAAAAAGAATTACTGAACGCACCTCTTTCATTTTGGTGGAAATGTGATGAAGACTGTCGGATGGTTGTTGTTATGTATTGATATTGACTGTTAATGTGTTTGGGTAAATGTGTCTCCAACTGTTTTGGAGGGAAACTGAAGTTTATATTTGAGCCAGTAAACCGGCTCTAAATCTGATTGGTCGCCGCCTAGTGTCAGTCTGTTGGTTGAGTTCAGTTCTGTTATTCTTGCAAATAAACATGTTGCATTAGATCGGTCTGGTCAATGCTTTCAAGAACTCACTACGTAACAGTTGTAATCTTCTCAAGCCAAGGAGGAGGGCAGTTAGTGGGCACCACTCAAAAGTTCGCACAGGATGCTTTTACAAAAATAGGGGGAAAGGTTTACATCCAAACAAAAAAAAGATGTTGAAGTCTCGTTTTATGTAAACTCACACAAATCCTCTTATTTGAAAAAAAATCTTAGTGGCTGGGTTTGGAGTCTCTCTACTAGGGCACAGGGTCAGTGGTGGGATTCAAATATGTGAACAACCGGTTCTCTGTGTGGATGCCGCTTCCGGAAGTCCGTTCTGGGCCTGGGCAACAAAAAATTAGCTACCGGTTCTGCCAAAGTGGTGCGAACTGGCTGAATCCCACCATCACTGCATAGGGTGTATATGCTTCACAATCTACCTGATTCACTCTGTCTCCAAGAAAGGCAAAGGAAGGCCACAAAAATTGTGGGTTCACAATAAAGTTTGGAAAATTTTCTGGCAACAGAAGATTGTAAATTCTGTATTTGAAAGAAGAATTCCACATCTTAATCATCTTTAAGAACATATAACACTGATGACTTTTCATAATATAAAGTGATATGTATTAATTTTATAGTCATAACTATACATTAAGGAAGACTAAAGAAAATAGTGACATTTGTGTAGTCGCCATGCTTCTCCCTGATTTCCTCAATATTTTGATTTTAAGTTTTCCACACAAGCAATTTCTGCTACTATGTTCTATCATTGCTAATAAAGATAGCAGAGATAGTTTAGTCCTGATAAGAAAGATTCTCATTAGAGAGAAAGATGAGTTGGCTTTCATCATTTTAAGCAACTCTGGACCTAAACCAAAGCTTACAACAAATATTTGAGCTTCACCTCTTTTCACTATAGCCGTATACTTTCTATATTAGAAAATACATGTTACTCAGTTTCATTTTGCTCCAAATAAGGGAAAAAGTACAAGCGAAAAGTATGTACAACTGCCAAATCTTAGTCTGAGGATTCTACTTGCAACCAGGGCTTTTTTTGTCATAGAACGCACGGAACGGCGTTCCGGCACCTTTTTTTGAACGGAAGAACCGGTTCCTTCTAAGCTGCCAGCGTGAGTACAGGTATGCTGCAGAGCAATTTTTTGGACCCCCAGCAGCCCGACCCAGGCTCTGGAGACCTGGAAAAGGCCTCTGCTGCCCACATCTATGGCTGCAGAGCAATTTTGCACCCCCCCCATGGCCGATCCAGGCTCCGGAGGCTTGGAAAAGACCTCCAGAGTCCAGATTGGGCCGCTGGGGGGGCGCAAAATCGCTCCGTGGCCATGGATCCAGGCTCTGGAACCTTGGAAAGGGACTCCAGAGCCCAGATCGGGCCGTGGGGGGACCACAAAATCGCTCTGTGGCCATAGATCTGGGCGGCAGAGGTCTTTTCCAGGCCTCTGGAGCCCGGATCGGGCCGCGGGGGCCTGTGGATGCATCCCCTGGCCTCAGATCGGAGCGGCAGCAGGAACCATGGCAGACAGGAGACAGACCTTTTCCAGGTGAGTGATCTGCACATGGGAAGCTCCCTAAAGAGGTTTCTTCTCCCCCCCCCCCAGCTCCATAACAGGATTTCGACTGGAGCTGGAGCTGTGTGTGAGTTCCGGCACCTTTTTTTTTTTTTTTTAACAAAAAAAGCACTGCCTGTAACTGTTGTTTGTTGATCCCGAATAGGGCTAAGAATTTGAGGATATACTGCCATTTTTCTAAAGATCAGTTCCTGCAGGAATCAAACAAATGGTTGAAATCAGAGGTTGATTAAGAGAATGATTCCTGGATAAATTTTAGAGTTATTTCTTTATCTCATAATATGTTTCTTTTCTGTAGACTAAGGTAGGGAAATACCTTTCTCTTTTCTATACAAAGTGCTGAATTCCACATCAGACTGGGGAGTCTATAGAGAAAGATTGCAGAAAATGTGGAGGCTTGACCATAGCCTAGCAGCAGATTTTACTAAAACTCAAAAGAGTTTATAGAGTTGTAGGCATTTAAAGTCTAAAAGAAAGGGAAAGAAAGATTACCTAGAAAAGAAGGATTGCTTTGGAGTATATAAAATGGTTTTGATTGTTTTTAAGTCATTCTACTTTAATATTCTCAGGATCATAAAATATAAGTACACAGGGGCATATTATGTGAAACACCAAAACCAAAGCAACAAGAGAATTTGGGGGGGTGGGGGTGGGGGGATGTAATTTTAATCCCAAACTCCCTTTGTTTCAGACCCACATTAATCCCCTCCTCCCATCAACTGTGTTGTGTAAATAGGATTGCCTTCTCCAAGATCAGAAACAAGTCCTAGTGTAGTCCCCACAAAAATGGGCCCCTTTAGGAACTCCATTTAGTTTCCCATGGTCCAGAAGTGATATAGGAATTGGATGGGGTAGGAAGGGTGAAGTTAAATCTTGCCAGCTCCATCTGGAGTGGCTCTGACTTCAAATAAACCACCACAGAATTTTAGAAAATATCCATTAGAATGAAAAGCTCTCATTTGAAGGGAAATTCATACAGGCATAGATTCAATAGGTATATTATTATTATTATTATTATTATTATTATTATTATTATTATTATTATTATTATTATTATTAATTAATTAATTGAATTTATATACCACCCTATCTCCCTTACGGGGGGTAGGTCATTCCAGAGGGCAGGAGCTGCCACAGAGAAGGCTCTCCCCCTGGGGGTCGCCAGCCGGCATTGTCTGGCTGACGGCACCCTAAGGAGGCCCTCTCTTTGGGAGCGGACTGGTCGAAGGGAGGTGTTTGGTAGGAGCCAAATTACCGAAGCCCCGTTTGTATCCCATGACACTGAGGGAGTTGGAGGAACTGAGGCAATACATAGATAAGAACTTGGCCAGGGGTTTCATACAACCGGCCCGGTCCCGGATAGCAGCCCGGTCCCGGATAGCAGTATATTTACAGATGGCCTCTCAAAGAAACAGTTAATAACCAGTTCTTCTCATATCTTTTGGGCATTCTGTTTAGAAAGAGAGATTAAATTATGATTAGCGTTAGGCTGTCTTTCAGTGCACCTGACAGTTGGGGGGAGAAAGTGATACAGGAAGTTAGCCAGTGACACAAGTCTGTTTTGAGATGATTAACAAAGCCAGGATTTTCTTCTTTGTTTTCCTCACTACATCTAGGGGAAATCATCTAAAGATTAACACATTTAAGCATGATGAGAAAAAAGTGCCAAGAAATCATTTTCCCCCCTATTTTCTTCAATCTTAGAGTCACAGTCCCTCAATCTGAGCCACCACAGTCCCTAGGTTGCTCATCCATGACTTCATCTATTTTTATAAAATTCAAATCAGGACCAAAGATTTTTTTTTTCATATTCTCAAATGGCACTTTCTTTGCCCAGAAAGTGGGCAAATTGGATGCATTTGGATGCAAATTGAAAAGTATCTCCCAAAGTGACTATGGAATCTCCCCAAAGTGCACATAGTAATATATCCATTGAAATTATCTGCTGCTTTAACTATCTCAAGAACGAGAATGGGTGGGAAACATTTTGAGTGCTTAGAAAAAGAACATTATATACAACAATAAGCATCACAAATTTTTAAAAGTGTAACTATTATCTTAGTGAGGGCTACTTTCTTGTTAAACCATCAAAAAATAAATTTAGCGAAACTGAAATCCCAGGTTGCAAAGTTAATTTCTGGTTTGATACAAGATAGAGATTCAGTAGTGACTCTCTGTGGTCAAAATGAACACTACAGCTGAATATGACATTTCAACTCATATTTTAAACACCAGTTTGGTCCTCTTTCTATTTACCCAGCAGCTGCCTTAAGTGACATTTTAATGGAAATAATCTCCGGGAAAGAAAATACAGAAATCTATGCCATTGCATGTGGACTGTTTGTTCCACGTGGAAGGCACATAGGTTCTGCTTGCAGAAAATCAAAGCTTTTACTGTATGTTTTGTTCATAGTTTGACAGCTGTTAACCATGACTTATGATAGGCTATTAAGAAACATGGATATTTTTAATATGTGTGTTAGTTAAATTTACAACTTGTTATACTACTTTTTCTCTCCCTTTTTTCAAACCAAGATATAGATGAATGTTCATTTGAAAGGACCTGTGATCATACCTGTATCAACTATCCTGGAAGTTTTGAATGCTTATGTCACAACGGTTATACATTATATGGAATGACACATTGTGGAGGTTGGAAGATTGACTCTTTTTTATACATTTTGCATGAAATTCTTTCATAAAGCAATGTTGTCAAAACTGCATTACCAAGAAGGCAGATTTTGAAATAGGCAAAGAATCTTAAAATATGGAAAGACAAAAGAAAATCTAATATTAAAATGAGAGAATGTTATTCGTATTTGTAGATTTCTTAGCAGTAGTTATTCAGCATTTTAAAGTTTGGTCAATTGTTCATAAAAAGATCATTTTTCATGTAAATGGCTGCTAAAGTGGTAGTGGCTGTGATTCAGATACAAAGGAAAAAGAGTGCTACGAAGAGCAGAGCAACTCCTTAAGCAGCTCCGATTATGTGGCTGCCACAATCCCAGGAAGAGATCTCTTGGTTATAGTGGGTAGAATTGCTGTCTGCAAACCCTCATGCACTCTAAAATACATGTTCCCTTCAAAGGAAATGTACAGCGTAGCTCTAGTAATTGTTAATCTAGTTTGCATTTATCATTTTTATTGATCATTTTTTCCACAGATTAAATGTCAGAATTGTTTGCTTTCCACATAATAGTTTATTTGTCCCAGCAATCTTTTTTCAGAATTATTTATATTTTGTGATTATTATTATTATTGTTGTTGTTGTTATTGTTATTGTTATTGTTATTATTATTATTATTATTATTATTATTATTATTATTATTATTATTATTATTCATTAGACATGAATCTCAGTCAACTGAACAATCAAGTTGGCTGGCACTGATGGTTGACACGGGTTGCTATCAGCATCCTAGGTGTCAACCAGGTACCTCCTTAAATATTATTATTATTATTATTATTATTATTATTATTATTATTATTATTATTATTATTATTATTATTATTATTATTCATATCTATGAACAAGATAGTATTCTCAATAAATTACATAATTCGTTCCCTACCAAAACATCAACTCAAATGGTCCCCAAGATTAGTCAGCAGAGGAACCTGGAAAAGGAATAAAAAATGGAGAAGCCAACATGCCTCACATTTATATGTTTGAAAGAGACACAGCGCCATTGTCATGTTAAGCTAGGTTGAGGACTGCCTTTATCTCTCATGATTTTCATCTAAAATAAGGTGACCAACCGTCCTCCTTTAGGGAGGACAGTCCTCCTTTTGTAAATTCTGTCCTCTCTCGAAAAGTGTCCTCCTACATGTCCTCCTTTTCGATAGTTGAAGACTAATCTGTAAATCTCCTATCGATGCCGATCCGATCCGTTGCGTGTGATGTGACATATTTGTATTTGATATGATGATTCATCAAGGCTCAGTACAGTGCAGCAAGGCGTGATTATGAGACGCATGCTCTCCGCACAGGAGAATTGTTTTGAGAGAGTGCGCCGCGTGCAAGAGTGCGCCGCACGCAAGTGGCTTTGTTTACTTCTTACCGAAACACGACACGGCACACACGCACGCATTAGACTCATTTTTTTTTCTTCAATTTATTTGTGTCCTCCTTCTCATTGTAAAAAAGTTGGTCACCTTATCTAAAAGAGCTTGAATTTCTGATGAAGAATTATTGGAGTTCCCCAAAAATTGGGTTAACACGTTTTTATTAAAAGGCCTAAATTATTATACAGCTCTCTTTATCAGATGCATAGAGTGGCTAGGCCAGGGGTAGGCAACCTTGGCTCTTTTATGACTCGTGGACTTCAACTCCCAGAATTCCTGAGCCTGCTGGCTCAGGAATTCTGGGAGTTGAAGTCCACGAGTCATAAAAGAGCCAAGGTTGTCTACCCCTGGTCTAGTCTAATGTTTCTCAAGCTGGTCAGCTTTGAAGATATGTGGACTCCCAGGATTCCCCAACCAGCATGCTTTTCTGGGAATTTGGGGAGTTGAAGTCCACACATTTTCAAGCTGCCAACGTTGAGAAACACTGTTCTACTCTATACTGTTTCCAGGATTTCCAGCTTGTCTGCTAGTTGTGGAGATTTTGGGGTGTTTTTTTTTAAGGAACAATGAACATTGATATAAAACATTGCATTTAGTATTATTCAATATTAAAATACAATGTAGTATTTTTAAAATATTGTTCATGCAAATGGAAACAAAGCCTTACAAGGCAATGCTATTTAATTTAAATATATCTTTAGATGTGGATGAATGTAGCATCAACAATGGAAGCTGTGAATATGGATGCCTTAATACTGTGGGAGCTTATGAATGTTTATGTCCATCTGGAAAAAAATTACACTGGAATAAAAAAGATTGTGTTGGTAAGTAACACTGTGTAATAGACATTTTCCATTCTTTCGCTTGTTGTATGAATGTCTGAGTAAATAAATTTTATTTTTTAAGCCTGATAGTGTACCCATTCAGTATTTATCATATATTGTGAGAGGGACTTTCTGCATTTTTTTTCCTTTGTTGCACAAATTCTTCCTTCCCTTTCATTTAATTCTTAATCACATTTCCTTCATAATGAGCATTTTCTCCAAAGGAGGTAAAAGTAACTGATTTCAGTTTTATTGTTTACTAGCTGTACCCAGCCACGCGTTGCTGTGGTTTAGTCTGGTAAAAGAGTGTGTTGCTTTTACGTCCAACAGATGGCGCTGTTTTTCAAAAAAAGCATGTTTTTACCTGTCACAGGTGTGACATCTATATAATATAGGTATATAAAAACACGCACGTATTCGAATGCAACATTGTGTCAAAATTTCAAAGCAATCGGTGAAGAACTTTAGGAGATTTAAGATTTTGAACAAACGAACATTTAGATTTTTATTTATATAGATTTATTTTTACATAGTCCCAGTTTCCAAGTGGTGCGACCCATTAGCCAAAAAATAAGCATTATTTAAACATTAGTAATATACTAATAATACAAAAATAATAATCTTTAAAGTCATATTGGGAATTACAAATGAAAAAATGTAAGTGCTTGGATGATAGTTCTCAAATAAATGCAAATCTGAACAACTCTGATTTTAAGGCTTTTCTAAAGGTCTGTAGAGATGGAACACTCAAATTTTGGAGGGGGAGGCTGTTCCATTAGGTGGCTGCCCTTGATCAAAACCGGGAGTTTGCTGCTTTGGCCTAGATCTCATGTTGGTGAACTACCAACTACCCGTTAACTACCTCTAGTCTATCTGGATTGGTAGGATCTACTTGAAATAGATAGTCTAGGCCAGTGGTGGCGAACCTATGGCACGGGTGCCAGAGGCGGCACTCAGAGCCCTCTCTGTGGGCACGCGCACCGTCGCCCCAATCCTAGGCCTTCAGCTGGGTTTTATAAAACCTTTTCGCTTTAGGCCTCCGCCGCCGTGTGCAAAAAAAAAAAAAAAGTTCAATCAGTCAATTTCAACTTCTCGCGGGAAAAAAAAGATCTTGCAAACTTGAAATTGATTGATTGAACTTTTTAGTCCCACCCAGTGTGCCGTTACCAACACAGCCACACCTAGCCAATGGGCCACACCCACCCGGCACTCGATGATGCATAAGTGGGTTTTGGGTTGCAGTTTGGGCACTCAGTCTCTAAAAGGTTCGCCATCACTGGTCTAGGCAGTACCTTGAATTGTACGTTAGAGGTCTACTGGTAAACAACATGGTATCCTCAGCACCGGTGTGTAGAATAGTGACTCTTATCCTCCGATGAGCATATGAGATCAACTGCAGTTTTTAGAGCTGCCCTTTGTATAGCAAATTGAAGGAATCTAACCCATAGGTGAGAAGGATGAGGGATACTGGGATATGCTTCTTCAGGAAAAGCTGCAGCTAGTAGAGCAGCTTAAGTGGAAAAAGCCCCCTCAGGACAGCTACAGACTCCACTTTTCTATCCATCCGTTACTATGAATCTCAGGATCCTCACGTGAAGAACCTGCTCCTGCAGTGGGAGTGCTGGCCTCTCCACAGTTACCAATGGAATGACCTCCTTTTTTCCCAAACACAATGGATAATACAGGTAGTCTTCAACGTACGACCACAACTGAGCCCAAAATTTCTATTGTTAAGTGGGACATTTGTTAAATGAATTTTGCCCCATTTTACACCTTCCTTGACATAGTTGTTAAGTGAATCACTGCAGTTGGTAAGCTAGTAACCCAGGTTGTTAAGTGAATCTGGTTTTCCGATTGACTTTGCTTGTCAGAAGTTGCAGCCGGGGATCACATGATCTTGGGACACAGCAACGGTCATAAGCATGAACCAATTGCCAAGCATCTGAATTTTGATCACCTGATCACGGGGATGCTGCAAAGATCTTAACTGTGAAAAACGATCATAAGTCACATTTTTCAGTGCTGTTGTAACTTTGAATGGTCACTAAATGAACTGTTGTAAGTCGAGGACTACCTGTAATGCCATGGCATTTAGAATATATTTTTAATCCATCGTTTGTTATTTCACTTTGAATTATTTTGTTTCTCATACCTATCAAATTTCATAAAGTATTCCCATGCCATCTCTGACAATTATTAATATGTGATTTTACAATAGACTGTTTTTCTAAAAACCCAAATAAAATATGTAATAAAATAAAAATGTAAATAAAAGTGCTGATAGCTCAGTATTGTAGATCCTGCCTTGTTCGTCAATTGGTAAAATCAAAAGGAGTCAAAGTTCCTATGGGAAGAGTACCTTTAATTCCTATTCTCTTTTCTAAAATAGCCTTGGATATTGTAGGCCGGTGGTGGCGAACCTATGGCATGCATGCCAGAGACGGCACTCAGAGCCCTCTCTGTGGGCACGCATGCCGTTGCCCCAGCAGAGTTCACCAGAGTAGCAAGCACCTGGCGTTTGGAAGCGACAGGGCAGGAAGTGAGCGAACAAGCGGCGTTGGCCCCCCGGGGATGCCCCGGAGATGGCGAGGGACTGGCTCCGGCCATGCTCACCCAGTCTGCCATGACCATTGCAGCCACGCCTACCCAGTGGGCCACGCTCCTCACCCCCCCTGAGGGCACCACAATGCTGATGCAGCCCTGGCACTTTGCGATAAATAAGTGGGTTTTGGGTTGCAGTTTGGGCACTCAGTCTCTAAAAGGTTCGCCATCACTGTTGTAGGCCCTTTGCCACAATCTATCAAAGATAAAAAGCCTATCCTAGTTGTTGTTGTTGGTTTGTTCTCCAAGCTTGTTATTCAATTTCCAAACGTTTTGTCACCAGGCTAGGTAACATCATCAACCCAAGTTCCACTCATGATGTTACCTAGTCTGGTGATGAAATGTTTGGAAACTGAATAACAAGCTTGGAGAACAATCCAGCAACAACATCTACCACCCGAGGTTCAAATATTTTCCACCATTTCTATATCCTAGTTGTCTGCTACTATATCACTAGGTATCCTAAAGCAGTTTATTTATTTTATTTTATTTATTTATTATTTACATTTGTATCCCGCCCTTCTCCTTGCGGACTCAGGGCGGCTGACACTTGGATAAAACTAACATGTTATACCTAATTAAAATTTAATTAAAACGAGATATTTAAATGTGTCAAATTAAAAGTAATTAAAACCCCTTTAAAATCCCTTAGGCCAGTCCCGCTAGCTGGAACAACCACGTCTTGAGGGCGCGGCGGAAGGAAGGGAGATCAGGGATCACCCTGATCTCTGGGGGCAGTTCGTTCCAGAGGGTGGGAGCTCCCACGGAGAAGGCCCTCCCCCTTGGGGTCGCCAGCCGGCACTGTCTGG